ACGTACAATTTCACAGCCGACTACTGAATTTTCGATGATTTTAAGTAGCATTAACAAGATACGCGTCTTTAGTTTTTTGAGTTTTTTATGAAAACGACAATGTTTTTTAAAAAATAGTAAGAGTAAAAAAAGTTTTAAAATTAAATTCCACATGAAATGAGGTAATAATGTATTAAATCCACAAAAAGGTTAAACAAATCTGCCAAAATTTAGGGAACCATCACCCTTAATCAACCCTTTGAAATGTGAAGATATTCAATGTTTTAAAAATTTAAGACCCAACTTTGAAGGCCTTTAACTTCTCAGGGGTACAACTTGGTATAGAGATAAGTTGCGTTAAATCATCTTAATTTATTGTCCTCTACATGTCCCTGCTCTGTGTCGGTTCTTATGTGAATCACCCTGTATTGCGAGTTATGTGAAATTCCCGGTACATATTTATGTGCGGGATATTTTTTCTACAAACAATAACCGATAATTAGGAATTATAATATTGAATATCATCATGTTCTTAGAATATGAATTTTACAAAAGAAAGGAATTTCTGGTATATTTAGTGAGTAATTCATAATGTCCTCTGGACTTTACACAATTTCACAGACTTCATTGCAATGTGCTTAACATAACAAGTTGCTGAAGAGATTGTCTATGTACTTTCAATTACACCCAACTCTTTTTTTTACACGGTAAATACGTTCCTAAGAAAACCGCGCAAAAAAATTATAATAAAATGTATATTACATATTTATAAAAGAAAAGCTATTTATTAGTTTAAAAAAATAGTGTACAGTCAAAACTCCAACATAACAATAATAATGTAAACTCTAATTAGAAATAAAAATCAATTTCGCAAGTCTTCATCGCTACTTGATAACAAACGTGCACGTTTATTACGGACTTCACCAAAAGCGATATGTCGGATATGTCTAGCACAACTGTCGGATTTAATTCAAATGAAGAATTTCGTTCGTTATTAACGGTCTCTGTTGGCTAACTGGTTATTAGCTGCTGTTTTTTTGGTTTCTCAATACGCTTATATAATTCTTCATATCCATCTACACATAACTTAAGACTACGTTGCGATTTCATACTTGTAGCAAATTTCAAGCCATCGCGAATTAAATCAGCCGGAGTTAACAGCTGAACTTCATCTTCTACCTTGTCATTATCGATTTCTTTATTTTCACAAATTGTCATAAATTCGATCAAATCATCTTCATCCAAAGGGCTTTCTCGCATCAATTCATCAATATCAGCCGTTTAAATGTTGTTAAAACCGTTGCCACCAATTGTATTTGATAGAGTTATAGTTTCAGAACACACAGCTGATTGTTCTACTACAAAACTTCCACTTTTGACACATGCTGGCAATATTTTTTTCCAACAAGCATTTTAGGTTGATTGGCGTAATTGTTTAATGGCAACAGAAGCAAGTGTAATGTAATCCATAATCGTAAACTTTCTCCATGCTTCCAAAACAGTCAAATTTGTTTCTTCCACTGAATGTAAAATATATTCAAACGTTTGCTTTATGTAGTACATTTTAAATGCTATAATGCCCTGATCGAGTGGCTGAATTAGCGAGGTAGTATTAGGCGGTAAAAATAGCAAAAACAAGCAAAAGTATTTTGAATTCCAAACCTTTTTTTTCCATATATTTCTGGACTTCAGGAACAAAGCAGTTGTAGAACCAATTTGTAAACAGATCAGCCGTCATCCACGCCTTTTTATTCGCCATGAAATGGACTGGAAGTTGTTTAATGTTCTTACCCCTTAATGCTCGTGGCATAAGAGATTTGTTGATTAACAAAGGCTTTAACATTTTATCACTCGATCTTTGCCCGCTTTAAAACCACCAGTTGATTTTTCAGATTTTGCTATGTAAGTCCTTTCGGGCATTTTTTTCCAAAACAATCCCGTATCGTCGGCATTAAATATTTGTTCTGGAGTATAACCGCCCTCTTCAACGATTTTTGCTAGTTTATCCGGAAAGGTTTTTGCAACATTTTCGTCTTCTGATGCTACTTCTCCCTTTATTTTTACATTGTGAAATGCGTGTCTTTTTATAAAACCTGTCAGCCATCCCTCACTTGCATTAAATGCCAGTTTCTTCGTTGCCTGAACACTTGTTGATGGTTCCAATTCCTGAAGTTGGTTATATATTCTAAGTGCTTTTTCTTTTATATGTTTCCCATCAATAGGTATTCTTTTTTACTGTGAATCTTCTATCCAAAACACCATGTGTTTTTCCGTTTTCTCTAAGATAGGATGTCGACTATAAGATGATGTTTTGGAGCTTACTTTCGAACCAAAAATTACGGATTGTCGAATGGAATTCTTCTTTTTCTCTAATTGTTCTTATAGTCGCTTCGTTTAAACCAAAAGCTTTGCCAACAGATGTGGGACCTTCGCCTTTCTTTAGACAGTCATGCTTTTTATTTTAGTTTCTAAGGAAATTGCTTGTCTCTTCGGAAGTTGTTGTTTAGGCATTTTATTAAACAATAAGGGTACTATAAAAAGAATCCAAAACAATATTGCTTATAGAATTTTTCTAAAGCGACAATCTACCACAATATTACCTTTTTTAGTAGCAAAGAATTATCATCATTACAAATAACACACTGGAAATTTCACCATCGCATTAAAAAAACTTTAATTTAAACATCCACTTTTAGAACTTTATCGAGATTATTTATTACGTCTCACAAACTGACCACTCTTAACACAAAATACATACTGAATAACGAAATCCTGTGTTCAAGTTGAAGCACAACGAGATAAAGAAAAAAAGTGATCATAAAATTCTGGTATCCCCCGTAGTAAACCAAGTTATAAACATGTGGGCATAAACCGATCAACTTCTGACCACGGTATTCCCCCATTGTATTTTGTTACTGTATACATAAGTTTCTGTAAGACGCAATCAAAATTAGAATTAAAATTTTTTTTTGGGATTCTTGCTATAACAAAAAATTCGTGTAAAAAAATGTATTGGTGAACCGTGTCATTTCAAAATCGTGTTAAAAAAGACCGTGTAAAAAAAGAGCTGGGTGTACTTTGAAAAACATTGAACCAATTGGTCTCCCTTTTAAGTAGTAATAAGAAAAAGTGCCATTTCCAGCCTGAGAAATCGAGATAATAGAGTAAAATTTCATATAAAACATAATTCATGTTTTGTGCACATTGTACTTTGATCATCTTGATACTTACTATACTTAACTAATAAGAAATTATATCATTTAATTATTGTTTCAGCATTGTCATAAACACTCGGACTTAAGAGATGAAATATACTGCCAGCTGATTAAGCAGACGACATTAACCTCATTTCCAAATCAAAGCCAAGTTAATAATGAATCATTTCAACGCGCTTGGAGATTACTATCAATATTAGCAGCTTATTTCACGTGTTCCGAATCTTTACTGCCGTACTTAGTGGATCACTTAACATCATTTACGTCGGATAAACACAGAAATTTCCACGGAACTGCTTCCGTTTGCCTTCTAAATCTTCGGAAAACCCAAAAATTCGGCGGTCGAAAAAACGTGCCGTCAATAGAAGAAGTTACCGCTGTTAGCGCCGGTAGAAACTTTCGAAGGCAAATATATAGACTTCCAGGAGGTGGAGAGAGAGTTGTAAATACGAAAAACAGCACTGTTGTTCAGGATGTAATCGACGAATTATGCGAATTAATTGGAATTGGATATGAAATTCAACATAACGATCTGAAATCCGACCAGAAAGGGTTCACAAATTATAGAAGTGAAATGAGAAATATCAGAAACGAAAAGGAAGAATTTAGTTTATATTGCATCGTCCAGGGAGATTCCTTTACTATGCCTTTATCATTTGATGAATATATCTTAGATGTCACCACTGAATTGCAAAAAACTAATCAAGTTTTTTATCTTATTTTTTGTAGATCTATTTGGTTTTATCCTCTAAAATCCAATCCAAATCCGCTTTATATCGAGATTTTATTCAATCAACTTGCTCCAGACTATCTCGAAGGCTTGCTTCTAATTCTACCAACCCAGCAAAACCAAAGTCAACATTTAAGCCACCAGAATTATATGCTTAATCCAAATGTAGTTAATGACGTAGCATTCATAGCAGCTTTATTACATCGTTCTGCAGATTTAAAAAGCGCGCCGAATCTAAAAGAAGTAAAGTTTTTGCTTCCAAAACCGATTTTATCTTTAAAAGAACCAAAACCAAGTCAATGGTTAAGTTTAGTACAGTCATCTTGGTTGAAAATAAGTTCATTTAGCCCTATAACTTCGAAACTAACATTTTTAAATGTTTTAAAATCTTGGAATTTGTTCGGATCGTCGTTTTTTGCAGTTAAACTTATGCAAAATACTTCAAATTCGTTGGATTCTTTGAACAGAGATTATATTTTAGCATTAAATCGTAATGGCATTCATTTTCTGGATTTAATTACACATGAAACGGTGAAAAGTTGGCCGTTCTCAGAAGTAATATCGACGAGAAAGGTTAAATCGGAGGAAGGTGTGTTGTTTTTGGATCTGAAATGTGGGAATTTAATGCAACAGAGGGTCACCCGACTGCAAACAGAACAAGCGCACGAAATAAGTCGGTTGATTAGGGGATATATTAATTTGGAGCAGGTGGAAAATGGAAAAGTTTGATATTATGGTTATAAATAAATTAATTTAGGTTTATGAATAAATATACAAATGTAAGTGTACAATAAGAGTTGTTCTAAAAATGTTGTAAAAATTTCCAAATTATAATACTTCAAATAAATTGAAACATTAGTCATTATAGGATGCTCCTGTTGTTATTAATTATTGTATCTAGTTTTTCAACTTATTTTAGGAATAGACTAAACTAGGCGCACCTTATCACATTACCATAGGGTATGAAAAATTAAATATAGTTTGTTAAAAAAAAGCGCCAAGTTTAAATGTTTCTATAATATTTGAAAAATCAAAATATTGTATTCTATTGTAATTAGTAATTTTTCTTTTATTATACCTTTAACTGAGGCTCCAGGCATTAATTATTTGTAGTAACGCGTATAGTGTTATTTTTTAACACCTTATTTGAATGGTTTGTTATGGGTTGGTAATTACAGTCTGCATCAAAACCCATTTCGTGCCTGGAAACCGGATCGTTTCATTATCCACAAATGGAAATATGGGAATATATCTCCGTGATCACAGCAATCTGTAGCAAAGTTGTAATATTGAAGCTATGATAATAATTCATTGTTTAAATGGTTTGGAATTATTTAATATATTTATGAAACGTTTAATTATTACATATTGCACTAGGAGACTGATGTATGTCATTTAGTCTTCTTGTCATACTTCAACCCCTTCGTTTTGCCTTCTACATAATATCCTATTGAGCCGAATTCCTGTTTTGTTTACAAAAAAATGACCTTAATAAAGGAAATGAGTTTAAAAACATTGCTTTTATTTCTACATAGGGCTGAAGTAACTGCTCTTTGTTGAGCATATCAGGTAAATAAGGTTAAGTAAAGCGATCATCTGTTTTTAGATGTTACCAGAACGTAAACATGTGGAATGCAAAACGCAACAGTATTGTGTTACATATCAGGGTATATGAATTTGTATAAACTATAAATAAGTATTAGTAGGTTAATAAAAAGAAAAGATATAGAATAAAATAAAGTTACTCTGTGCGTACAGTCGTGTTCACGATAAATGCACACTCAAGGTCAAGCGCTGTTGTGAGATCCGACATGCTGCTGGCTAACCTGGATCTAGGGATGCAACATCGATATTAGAACATCGATGTTTTCCAAAAGTGAAACATCGATGTCGAAAACATCGACGTATTATACCGATACATCGATGTTTAAAAAAAATATTCAGTGGCTGAATTTTTATTATAAGAATTATCATAATAATCAATAATATTTGGACCGCGTTCTGCATCACTTGACTAAGCGACAAATAATAATAATAATAACTTTATTATCATAAATTTAATCACTAAAACTAGAGACAAAATGATGACGATTTGTGTAAAAATTTTTGAAGAAAATAATCTAGAGTTTGATTTTGTACTTTTAAACTGGTTTTTATTTTCTATAGAATTTAAGTCTAACCAGTTTCGGTCCTTGCCCATCTTCAGAGACTCTACAAATAGATTAACATCTCTCATCTTATCCATTTTACAAACAAGTTTCTTAATATTTCTTGTTCTTTTGTTAAAAAAGATCACATATCAATGTCGAAATCAGATTATTAGTTACTAATTTACAAAATTAAGGTTTAAAAACTTGTAAAATAAAACTAAGGACGAAGTGTTACAAGTTTACAGATCAAAATTTAAGAACGCTCTTTTTTAACGAAAGAAATATTAAGAAACTTGGGAAAAATTCAAGAATCATCATGTGGCTTAAAAATCGACGACTTTTTTTAATCAATGTGAAATGACCCAAAAAAATAGGTTAAAAATATAAAGAAAGTGCGGAAAAGTGACTAACACTAGATTAACTTCAGTTATAAAACTTCTATTACATGATAATTAACTTCAAGTTTAAAATCTCAACCTCACTTTTGACATATTTGTAATCTTCATTAAAAATCCTTTAAAATGAGTGCAAACACGACATATTTATCTTCAACTTCCGGTTAAGAATGTCAATTTTGACATATTTGTAATCGTGAAAAATCCTTTAAAATGAGTCCAAACATGTTATATTTAATTCCAATATTAATCGAGATATAAGCAACTTCCGCTTGGAAATGTCAATGTCATGTTGACATATTCATAATTTTTATAAAATGTCTTAATATTTGTCACAAAAACAAAAGTATAATAAAAAAAATAAAAAATTAAGGTTGGTATTAATATTTAAAAATTAAATTGCTATCTTTATTGTTGCTAACTTAGGGTTAATTGTTTTTTATTCTAACTTTTTTGTTTTTTGAGATAAGTGCGTCATCTTTGGACTCATTTTAAAGGTTTAATGAAGATAACAAATATGTCAAAATTGACGTTGACGTTTCAAACCGGAAGTGATTACATTTCCATTAATATTAAAATTAAATATGTCGAGTTTGGACTCATTGTAAAGGATTTTTATGAAGTTGACAATTATGTCAAAATTAAAAGTTGAAAGTTCGAATTTTTTGGTTTTTTGAGATAAATGTGTCAAGTCTGGACTCACTTTAAAGGTAATAATAAAATTAAAGTTGACATTGACAGTTGAAAGTTTTTTTCACGACTAAAGCCGAATGCTTCTAGTTCTCGTTCTAGTTTTAGTTCAATAAAAATATACAACATAGTAATATCTTATGCTAACTAGCGCTACCTACCACTGCCACTAGAACTAACACTAGACCGAGAACTAGAAACATTCGGATTTAGTCCCACGTCTCTCAAGACGGTTAAACCCGAATGATTCTAGTTCTAGATCTTGTGTTAGTTCTAGTGATAGTGCAAGTGTAATTCTAGAACTAACACTAGTCCTAGAACTAGAAATATTCGGTCTAGTGTTAGTTCTAGTTTTAGTGCAATAAAAATGTGCAACAGTGATATCTTATGCTAACTAGCGCTACCTTCCGCTGTCGTTTGTAAAATGGATAAGATGAGAGATGTTAATCTATTTGTGGAGTCTTTGAAGATGGCTAAGGGCCGACATTTGTTCTATATAAAATAAAAGACAAACTTTCAATTTTATACTAACATCTAGAAAACGACACTGACTCGAAATTGAAGGTTCATCTATTTTGTCTATTGTAGAATTTCTTGGTGTATCTAAGTGTCGTATCTAATGGTAAGTCGGTTCTTAGACGTATGATGCAAATCGGACTTGAAATCGCATAGCGTGATTGGCGCTTAGCTTTATCCTTTAAAACAAATAGTACTTATTTTAGGTCTCTCGGTATTCAGTATTTTTTCTAAGATGTTACACCTTTACTGTCTTTAATGTCTGGTAACAGCATGAAAATCTCTAAAAACGATAAAATGTCGCTTAGTCAAGTGATGTATAACGCGGTTCATTTATTATAATATGATAAAACACATAGATAATGTTATTTAAATTTATTTTTAAGTATAGAATACAAAAACCTTAACTTTGACAACCTGGTGCCTAATAAGCGATTCCTTTCCTGATTAATTGTTGCGCCAACTTCTGTGAATAATCGTTCGTTAGACACTGAAGTTGCTAACAGTGGCAAATATTTCATTGCTCTTTTATACAAACATGGAAATAATGGTCGATTATTTTATCAAACATCGAAGATAAAATATCGTTCATAATGAACGATGTATCGATGTTTTATGGACTTCAACATCACTATTAAAACATCGATGTTTATAAACGATACGTCAATGTTTTCGAAAAATCGATGTATCGTTTGCATCCCTACCTGGATCGCCACAAGTCCCTTCTCCACAAGCTTCGTGTGCGCTCGACTCAGCCCGTTTAGCCAGCGGTATGTTGGATTTCACAACAGCGCTTGACCTTGAGTGCGCATTTCCCGTGAACACGACTGTACAGGTGGTTCAAATTCGATGTCCGAATAGGCTACGTCGGAAACTATAAGAGTTAGAGAAAAAGTAGTTTACATGTCATGATCTCGTTTTTCGAGAAACTGCTAATGCCGAAAACCTCATAGCGCTATCGTCTTTTGTTTTTCCGCTAGAGGCCAAAATTGAAAATATCGTAAAACCAGCAAGCGCAATTATCTTGATTATTATTATAGGTGGAGTATTATAACTAAGATATTATATGGACACTTTTTACAGAGAATTTGATGACGTAGTCAAAAAAATTTTTACGGTTATAGATTTTGAGATATCACAATTTTCGTTTTTTTAAATGGAAACAACCACTGATTATTCACTTATTAAATTCGTTATTTTTTTCTGATTACAAAAATATAGGGTTTGACAGGTCTATTTCTTATTGTTTTAGAATAAAGCTAAAAATAAACTTTTCTTTTAGTGTTGTCCAAGAAATTAAATTTACAGTTTCCTGTAAATTACGGTACAATAACTAAAAATTAAAAAAACATATTTCTGATTATTCGAGTGCGGATAAGATTCGAGAAAATACGGTAATTAATAATAACTAGATTTAATATATTCAGGTCCACATTTTTTTAATTTTTTGCAATAGAACTGCTGTAGAAAACGGAAGTTGAATTATTAACTTCATTTTTGATATAATTTCACGATTAATTTATGTTAATACCAGTGAAGGTCATTAGTCATTACATAAGAATAAGGACTGATGTTACTGTATGGTGATGGAAAACATAATATGTAGGATACATAAAACAAAATAATAAATATATAATATAATAAAAATAAAAATTAATTTTTAAGGTAAAAATAAAACACAAATTGCATCTACCACAAATACAATAAACTGCAAAAACAGTGAACATTTATACATTAAAAATGTGTAGAGTATCATATTTATGAACTTATTTTTTTCATTTTTTTGCTGCTATGGATGATCGAATTGCTGCAACTCTTCTTTTTAATACTGTACTTCGTTTTAAAGAATCATATTTATAATTTAAATAATTTATCCGAATTATAATCCGTTGTTTTATAAATAGCTCGATTATACTATTATCTACATTTGGAAATTTTTGTATAAACTTTTGCTTTAATTTTTTTTTAATATTCTTCTTATTGTGTAATCCTTTCCCCAGTTTTAAATTGAAATAATCGTTTAAGGACATAACTAAAGTTTTGAATTTACTACTGGGGTTTATTAAACCACCAAATGATAAATGTTTTACCCATGAAGGATATGCATAATCGTGATTACTTTCTTCTCGATATGTGTAATCCCCCAATTCTGGATGCACATCTTTTAATTTTTTCGCCATCCATCCAGTGAGATACTCCAACCCATCTTCTTCCTTTTCATTGGGATTTTCTTCACATACAATATTTTCAGATATTGTAGATGACGTGTCCCCAGAGCTTTCGGTGGAAGAAGCTTCTACGCAATTTGTTTGCAGTAGAACTTTTCCAACTAAATACTCATCATCTGCTGTATCTGTAGTATTTGTACCATGTTTCAACTGGGACGATTTACCCAAAATAATCATCCTAAGCCTATAAAGGGCATTTAATGGCGTTGGATGATCATTAAGCCCTCCTCTCGTTCTAATTTGGCTAAATAAGTTTTCTAAAGCATCTTGGTTCAATCTATTGGTTAAAATATATTTAATGTCATGGCATTCGACCATCTCTTTGTACAATAACTTTATAGACACTATTGACATTAACACTCCCTTTTGAAAAGTTTGC